TTTGGGTTGTCGACACTCTCGAACCTGCTACTGCTCTGTGATTGGCCAGTGGTGCTGTCCTCCGCAAACATTCCTTATTGCTTGCATGGAAATATCAAGCTTGCTAGATATCAAACTCAAGCAACGCAAAGAAACCCAAGGCAAAGGAAGCGGCCGGCGCAAGCGAGCGACTCATGAACAGTCCTACCTGTGAAGCTGACTCGCTCGCAAGCATGCGAAAAACGCAAGTGAAAGACTCATGAACCCGGCATAACAAAGGCGAAAAAACATTATACAGTCTGTGTATTATAAAATCGTCTTAAAGGGGATACTCATTAATGCTGCATTGCAGTCCGCCTTGCCGTCTGCCGCATTATGCTGGATTATGATATGATTATGTCGCAGCGTGCAAATCATCCTGCAATGCGTCCTGCGAGACTCCATACGAGGGCCATACGCAGGATAGTGTATAGCCCTCGCCCGCCTGCGCGGCGGACTGCCATGAAGGTGAACGGGCCGTTAAATTTACACAATAACTAACCAAAAGAACTACTGAATGAATGTAGTTCTTAACCTTAGAGGATGGAAAAAGTTCTAAACTGATGACATTGTAAGCTATATCCACGAAACATAAAAATCCGTGGCCATAATAAAATTAAAAAAATACCAGTAAAAAAAAATTTTTGACAGAAGAAGAAATTAAGATCCGACCGAATCGAAAAACTTATATTTTTGTTGAAGTTGGTGCTGTAATCCACCAAAAATGCTATCTAGGCCTCTTGTTTCAAGAGTTCTTCTACTACGATCATTGAAGAACTCTGCAGATAATGTAAAACAAGTTAAAAGAAATGGGAGCCATGGGTGAGTGACTGGTTATGTCATCGATATTTATTTATCTCAGCGTAAAAAGAGCCACTAAATAATTGTATGTATGAATACTTCTCGACTAAATTCGATATTATAAAGTGTGATATATTTATCGACAACAATATAATGAATGTTTGTTAATGTTTACGTAGTACATCAAAATAGTTATGGAGAAGTTACGCACTTACGGTTTATATGTCTTTCTTCAACCACACAACCGACTATAATATCAAAATAATATCAAAAAGTAACATCGAAGTAGTAATTCATTATTGAAGGAGTTGCAGATCCATTAAAGCTGATGACATTGTAAAACTAACTGATGTTAGTTTATTTATTTATTTATTGAAAACACTTGAAAGCTTACATTATTATTAACTAATTATAATTATATATATAATAATTATAATTATTATAATTAACTGCCTCCGTGGCCGAACGGTTACCATGCCGGACTGCCACGCAGAGGTCCTAGGTTCGATTCCCGGGCCGGGAGAAATATTTGTATGGCTTACATTTATTTCTCTCGTGAGTTTGGGTGTAATTTGTGTTTGTCTATGTATGTGTCCATGGCACCCGCGACACAGGGTTTCCCTAGTGCGGGGCTATGTTGAGTGTGTGCGTTATTATTATTATTATTATTATATTACTTAATTAGTAATACATTACGAAAACGCTTGTAAGTCTGTCTTGATTTTTTATATTTTTAAATTTAATTCAATTAATCATGTTATGGTCCTATGTGTAACAATTGCGAAAACCTAAGAACTTGTCTAGTTATATCATCAATGCATTATATTGAAAAAATTTAAAAAAATAGAAAATACAAAAATTTAATTCATAAAAATGATATTACAAAGTATTATACTTTTTAAAAAGATATTACAAAATATTATATAAATTGAAAAAGATATTACAAAATATTATGTAAATTGAAAAACGCTGCGTGTGCTACCTCCCAGTCCTACTAGTTCACGAACAGAAGTATCCCGCTCCGGACTGCTTGTCAAAGAATATATCTAAATTCTGAGACTGGTTGTACAAGCTTGTGCTTGTATGAAGCTGCACATAACTTCTACAGCAACTGAGTTATCCATAATTGGAACATGCTACTAGAATCGACTCTGTTAATGCCTTCAGAAACATGCTCAACAATTATTGCATTCATCCTCCAAGAACGACTTGGCAATGTTGGGCCACAAAGACAGTCTCACATTCCTACATCATCGACATCCTACAATTGTCCTACAATTGACATCAGTTGTTACAGTTAGAAAATCAGCATATTAATAATAACATATGCACACAGTCACAGCTCTGCACTAGAGAAACCCTGTGTCGCAGGTGCTGTAGACACACATAGACAACCGTAAATTACACCAAAACTCACGAAATAAATAAATGTAGGCCATACAAATATTTCTCCCAGTCTGGGAATCGAATTGGGACCTCTGCGTGGCAGACCACTATGGTTATATATTGTGTAAAGGCTGCATGGCACTTAATTACATTTTCTATTTGTTATACAGAGTATGGTCCTACCGTGTGGTTCCACCCATGCCCTCAAAGAGGGCTACATTACTGGCTGAAGTACTTGGAGGATTCGCTTGGTGGTGGATCTTCTTCCATATTTTTACTGAACCTGAACATGTTTATGTAAGTCTTTTTTTTCTATTCAGTATTTCAATATTATAAAATAAGAAGTAGTCGAAGTTTTTTTTTGTCCATCGCGTCCCCTCCAATGGCAGCTGGATTTTCAAACTAGTTGATCCAATTCCAAGATTCCGCGCCTCATAAGACGTCTCATTGAGTCATGGATAGTTGCCCTGCCAGCAGGTTAGTGTGGTGATGCAGTCGCTTTTGTACTTAATAGCGTAAGATCGAATTTCTTCTTTTACTGTGTTGATTTTTAGGTAGTGATGGATTTCCGAGTTTCGAATGAACCAGGGCGCATTAGAAAGGACGGAATCTTCAGCTCTTTGTGTTAGTGTAATATTTTAATTGTATGTGGCAACCTAAATCTGAATGCCCTGAGTCCATACTGGTGTAAGGACAGTGTTTCTTTTAAGCAGCCAGTACAGTTCGCGACATCAGATGTTGAGTTTGTCTCTTTTCGCTCGGTTATGATTCCTCCAGGAAAGCCTACTTAACAGAGTTGTTAGGGTATGAGGTAGATCCAACATATAAATTGTGTACAATACTGGTCCCAATACGGAACCTTGGGGCACTCCAGCAAGAATATCAAAGCATGGTGATGTGTTTTCTCCTTCTCGAACTTAGAGGAATGTACTTGAAAGGTACGTTGCCAGGATAGCATAATAATTGTGCGGTAGGAAAGTTTTTATTTTATAAAGTAGCCCTTTATGCCATACTCTGTCAAAAGCCTGTTGTATGTCCAAAAATGCAGCCAAGCAATATTCTTTGTTTTCAAGAGATGTTCTGATGACACTACATAATCTATGGATATGCTCTATTGTAGCATGATTCTTTCTAAATCCAAATTGGTGATCCGGTGTTAGTGATTGTGAGAAAAGTGCTTTCACGAGTCTCTTCAGGAGAATTTTTTCGAATATCTTTGACATTACGGGCAGCAGGCTTATTGGTCTATATGAGGTTACATCATGTGCTGATTTCCGTGGCTTGGGCACCATGATTATTTGGGATACTTTCCACAGTTTAGAAAAGTGACCTGTTCTCGTTACACCATTACAGAGACATGTCAAGTAGACAATTACTTTCGAGGGAGTTCGGTGAGCACTTTTTTGTGTATGAGGTTAAAACCTGGAGCTTTCTTGTTCTCCAGCCGGTGGATAATTTATTTTACTTCCTTAGGAGATGCTGGATGGACCGGAAAGTCTAGTTGCAGAGCGCATGACTTCGTCAATGTCTGTCACGTCCCTTTGAGGGTCGGGTTCATTTAGAGTGCAAAATTTTTGACAAGTGTCTGGCGAATAAATTTGCCTTTCCTTCAGGTGTTCTAGCACACGTGGCTTAGCAGTGACAGGCCTGCCCTTGCGTGCTCGCCATAAGGAGTAATTCATGGCTTTTGGTACCTGACAATACCTCAATTTCGGCTTTTGCAGCATCGTTTGCAGTTCGGTGTATAATTTCTTTCATTGCGAAATTTAGAGCTCTTTTATCTTCCGGGTGTTGGCTAGTGTGCCATACTCCTTTTTTCTGAGATTTTTACTCTAATTTCTTCAGGTACTGGGTTATGTGTAGTTTATATATTTCTTATTTCAGGCGTACAAGTCCAGCAGCTCCTTTGATTCAAGGAAGTGAATTCTACAATAGCACTTTCTATGTCCTCTTCTGATTGAAGAGCTACCTTGAGTTGCAAATTTTTGTTTATCATATCTCGAAATTATTCCTATGTAGTACAGCATCGCGCGTTTATCAGTGTTCAAAACTGTTGTGCTAATGCTTAATATAATCGAAGTATGATCTGATGAACCATCGAGACATGGCTCTATAACACAGGAGAGTCGTGATAATACTTTTGTTATAAAGAAATCTATGACATCTGGAAGCCGATTTGCATCAGAGGGCCAATGTGTAGGTTCCGCCGTAAAAAGGGTCTTCAAATTGAAAGTATCTGGACTTTTCTTCAGTTCTCTGCCACTGTTGTGGTAAGTCTGGATCCCCAGTGGACAAGTTTAGCATACCAGTCTCCCCCTGTAATAAATCGCCCACCAAGAGTGGTAAAACATTCATTGAATAAATTTTCGTCTATTGCCCGCCTTGGGGGGCAACAGACCGTAGATATGCTAAAGTATTCATTTTTAAATGATTATCACTAATTTCAGGTGCCTTACCACGGTATGACTTCTTTTTATTTTCCCGATATTTCGGAACGGTTGCACGCTCCATGATCACAGGTTGACTGGACGGCGACAGCTGACAGCTTTAAAAGCTGACATATCTGTCTACCCTCTTGCACTGTCGACGACTACCTTCATCGCGATTTGTTGTGGCGTGGTATTAGAGCTGTTTATGATGAATTGATTTTTACTCACTATTTTATGTGTGAACTGCGTTTTATCAGTCAAAGGGTCGTATTCCAGAACCCTACTCAATGCTCAAGTCAGGACTTAAGTATGATTTAAAGCACTAGAAATTATACTTAAATCCTGCGTTTAGGGTCGTATTTCCAGTGCTTGAAATCATACTCAGATCCTGACTTGAGCATTGAGTAGAGTTCTCGAATACGACCCTTAGTTTCTAGCAATTCGGTTAGTATCTGTATATCTTCAATTCCATATAATATTATTGACCTGTGGTGGTAGTGGTATTCTTGGTGTTTTGTTCTTAGGTGCTCCGACTTCGTCCTCATTTGAGTCTACAGCCAGTCCGTTAAATCTATTTGAGATAGTGTAACACTTACACACATAAATTTTTAATGTAAAAATAATTTAAATAATCTATTGTGAAATTTGGCAAAGTCAAAACATTTAACACTTACAGTCCCATTTTGCAAATGCTCGTAGGATAATACTATGTATATATATCATTCAATAATATATGGACATTTAATCATTAATTTTAATTTATTTGTAAACCTGTTGTAGTATAGATAAATTGTTCACTATGGTTAGGTGAAGTTTAAAAAAATATTTGTTTTCTAAAAAAATAATTAATTTTCTAGGGTGAATGGCCCTACATTGATCCCAGTACTTGGACCGATGAAGAGTTAGGCATACCTCCCGACAGCCAAGGAAGCCTCCCAAGGATAAATGTATAAATAAAACATACTGCCTCTGAATAGAATAATGAAACATAATTTATAGCTTGAAAAATTATTGTTGTAAATAAAAATTCAAATTAAGAAATTAACCTTTTTATTTAAGAAATTACTCTTTTTATTTTAATAGTACACTTAAAGGGAGTCTGGTAACTAGTTCCCAAGAGTTTGCCACTGGTCATAATTTTTGTTAATACGTATTTGATATTTGCCTGTAGTTGCATGTATTGACCCAAAATGTAAAAATATAACTTTTAGTTAATGTAGGTACAGATAAGCAAAAAATGCAGGCATTAAAAAAAGGTGGAAGTGCCATTCTCAATATTGTCGAGTTAGTTGTTGGTGGTAAAATTTATCAGGAATGTGGGACATACTTCTGCTATTTATGTTATCTTAAAGTTATTTGAATACATTCTTACCATAAGGAAAATACACGACCAGACACGTTATTTGTTAATATTTTTTTATTTTATGGTATGATTCGTTTAAGTTACCTTCTTTCCCAAATAAACAATATGGACTTGTTTGGGAGTAAGTATGTAGGTATCTGAATTTTATAGAATACCTTTGCCCTGTGTTGCGTTGTATGTGTGTTGATACTGACTAGTAAGTATCCTTAAATATACTTTTCTCTATTTATATAACAATTTTCAAATTTTAATTTTAAATTTACTATTATTATGAGCCTTTCGGTGAAGGAAAACAATGTGACCTGTATGTCGAAGAAGGGTCACAACCGTCCACAAACGTGTGAGTCTCCAACCCGCATTGGGCCAGTGTGGCGGACTATGGCCTAAACCCTCGCCTGAGAGGAGACCCGTGGGACCAGCAGCAGTGGGACTTATTTTAATGATGATGATGATGATGAAAAAACCAAAATGTTTATATTATAATAATTGAACTACGTATTTCCCATTAGCAATGAATTGTAGTTTAAAAAATAGTCTATTCCTGAAATTTAAAAACTTTTTATAAAAGCGACCTCAAAAGTTTGTGTAATTACATCTATGTGGTAAGTTTTATTGAAGTTGGTCACCGGAAAGTGCGCGAAACCGGATTCATTCCCTAGTTTACCATCCCTTAAAGAAGTAATATTTTCTTCAAATTTAACTGGGATCTTTACTGAGGTATCCTCTTGCCCATAGATTTAGTATATACTAAATAGTAATATACTAAATCTATGCTCTTTCCAACAAAAAAAAATCGTCAAAATCGGTTCACAAATTTTTATGGCATGGGATATGAGTTATCGCGTAACGTATACATATACAAAAAAAAAAAAAGAAATACAGTCGAATTGAGAACTTCCTCCTTTTTTTGAAGTCTTAAAAATAGTTTATAACTTAGACTATGGAAACCAATTTTTTCCATCCTCCAAGGTTTATAAGTATTGTGTATTTTTAGTAAATTAATCCAGTAGTCATTATTACTAGGCTAGAAGGTAAGCTCTATAGGCAATGGCTTTATTTTTTGATTAGCGCCGCATGTAAACTTTGCTTAGAGGATGGAAAAAATGGTTTCCATAGTCTAAGAAACTTTGGTTCTTCTCTTAGAGGATGGAAACCAAAATTTGAAAGTTACAAATGGCAACAAACACATAGAAAAATTCGTGAGGTCCGCTGGTTCGTTCCCTGGCTTAGTTGGTATAGCGTCTGGCACGGTATGTTAAAAGATGTCGGCTCGAATCCGGCCGGATCGAAGGAATTTTTTCTGAGTGTTCGATCTTTGTATTAATAATTAAGGCATGTGTTTTCAAGGAAAGAACTTGTGAAAATATTGACAGAGCTCCTCCGTCTCTATCAATAAATGAGAAAACTGGTCTAATATTTTAATAAAGATTTTTATTAAATTATATATAACGTGAAAAAAATACACATGACACGAAGAGAGTACTACGAGGTGAAAAAATAAATTTGAAACACACACCGGCCAGTATGTAAAAGATTGCACATCCGTGCTCTGACACCCCTCCTCAATTATTTACAGCTGGCTTTCCTTATACTACCAAAAAAATCTTGTCAGTCATGAACACTCAGTACACACCCATTTCTCTACGTCAAACAAAACTCATACTTGCCCTTTAACACTGCTTTCGTTAAAGCATCAGCAGCCATGCACTTGGTTTCTAAATACTTGAGCATTATAGTACCCTTGTCTAATGCTTCTCTAATAAAGTGGCAGCGAACATCAACATATTTTGTCTGCTAATGTTGCACCGGATTTTGGGCTATTGCCATAGCAAATTGGCTATCTGTATGTATCGTGATAGGCAACTCCTCCTTGCCCGTGCCGTGCCGTTTTTATATTACATTTATCGATGACTATTCGCGAAAAATTTTGCATATTTTCTCAAGGCGAAGAGTGTGGCTTATGGAAAAATAAAGGATTTAAGAAATTTGCAGAAAATCAAACCTGAAAGAAGCTCAAGGTGTTGAGGACAGATAATGAAGGCGAATACGTTAATATGAGTGCATTCTTATAAAGGAAAATTATGGTTTAGGTCAATTGTTCGAAATTATGCGAACTTGGAAGGGGATTTTTTTAAAATACCAACTATTTCTTAGATAAATGCAATTTCGTTACCTACTTACATATAGGTAACTCATCAGAATTACAATCATTTATGTGCATAATATTGACATAACTGCCTACTGCCAAACTCATTATTTTTTGCATCGTCGAAGTCGGGTAATTACTGTGTACACTCGGCTTTATCCAGTTAGTAACGAAATCCATGAAATGTTGCGAAATAATATTACAAATATGACCATAACCGAGTTTTTAAATGCCAATGGTTTGTTATAATTATAACTTGTTATACAAATGTCATAATACATTTATTAAACTTTTAATTTACATGTTTTACGATGAGATAAATAAATCAAGACTCACCGTATCATGAAAAAGTTCTTAACTATTAACGTCACGAAAACATACTCTCAATTTGACCAACACGTTTGGACTGATTGTCATGAAAAATATGGCCGAGGACGCCAGACCAACAGCCAGCAAGGATAATTCTAATGGTGCCCGTGCAAATATCTAACGGATGAATTCAGAAATTAGGTGAAAGTGGAAATTAAACGTAACGAAAGAAAAGTAAATCGATATGGCTCATTTTATTTTTGGCATATTTCTTAAATTTTTACTATGAAGCCGCATTTAAATCATTCTCATACATAATGAAGAATTTCATTTTGTACAATATTATTTTCAATTTTTTCATACTTTAGGCCTTTTGTAAATAGTTTCTTTTTTATTATTAATTGTTACGTTGTAGCGTTGTAGTGCTTAGGTTTAGTTAATTCATTTATTTATTTTTGTTGTATGTTTAAGTTGATTGCCTCGTAGCCAATGCTCAATAAATTAAAAAAAAAATATCGTGACTTTTCGTATTTTTTGAAGTGTCAAACACTTGACGTAAGGTGGCGGCAATTTTATTTTTATTCGGCGCTTTTTTTTGTAAAGGTACATATATTTTGAGAAATAGTCCGGTAGTGAAATATGTAGGTACGCGTCTTCTCCTTGTAGGTTGTTGGAGGTCTTCGGTAAAAGTGTAGACACTAACATGATAAGCGATACAGGTGTACAACAAATAAGAATAGAACCTGGTACCCGAACCCAGGACGTTCACGTGTAAACTTTTACTGATCTCTTTTATATGACATAAATGAAATAATTATGTTTTTTGTTTAAGTAACACAAGTTAATATTACATATTTCACAATAAAAACAATGATTTACATACACATACACTTCACGCCCTTTTCTCATCGGGATAGGCAACACAGCCTTCCACTTGCTACCGTCTTGGCTTACATCTTTCTCTTCATCAAAACGCATCAATGCTTTTTCATAAACGCTTGTTGATTAAGATATATTTTATAGATCGGAACGGTTTAAACAAAACCCAAAGTTACTAATTTAATCTTTAATTTTGTTTTTTTTTTTCTTTTAGCTTTTAGTTAATTTTTTAGCTTTAGTTTACTTAAAAACAAGCTCGAATATCTTTGTCTTATTTTATCTGCTTTTTTAGACCTATGAGGCAACTACGCCTAATAAATTCGTTTAAAAATGACCAAACAACAAAATGTCGATAACATACCACAAATAATCATTATCGTTAACTAATGAACAGTAATGTAACTGCGATATATAAATTAATTAAAATCATATAAAATTCCTGTAAAAGATCTCTGATTAAAAGAACAAGTATAATAGGGAAAATATTATATTATGTATAAATTGATAAACAAAATACTTGACCTAAATTTTATATCACCAACACAATCTACGTGACTTAATTGTTTTTAAAATGAGTACAAGTATACTGTATAGGGAGTCACCATACTTACTAACTTAGAATCGCACTAAGTCGGTCAGAAAAGTGAGTTTCGCTGCCGCTCTGACAGCCCCGACGCGAAAGGCACGTCTTTAGCGCTCTTATTGCATGGACATAAAGCTTTTTCTGGCGCTTTAGTGTATTTTTATTAAATATGTAAAATTAACTATCGCGTTTGCGTTAAGATTTTGATTTAAACCTTATAAACATAATATAATTAAGGTCTAAATAAAAATTTTAACGCAAACGTGGCCCGCGCCTAGGGCGGCCAATGGTGACAAAAAATTCACTGATGATTGATGATAATCTCAGTAAAGAGTACTAAAAAAACCGACCTCAAAAGTACGTGAAATTACGTCTATTTGCTAAGTTTCATTGAAATATCCCCTAGTTCGCCACTATACAGGACTTGATACTGGAGATAATAAAAATAGGTTCTCACTACGACACTACTCAAAGTATATCGAGGGAAAAACGCCTTAAATTGGAGAAATAGCAAAATCAACTAAATAATTGCTAAAAGTAATTGCTCCTAAATTAAAGTTAGGCGCTATTTATAAAAATGAATCTTCATGCGTGAACAGCCACCCTTAGAGGTGGATGATTTCCTTCAAAATGAAATGGGACCACTATGGAAGTACCCCCTTTCCAAAAAAAAAGAATCATGAAAATCGGTTCACAAATACCGGAGTTATCGCGTAACATACATACAAAAAAAAAGATCATACCGTCGAATTGAGAACCTCCTCCTTTTTTGAAGTCGGTTAAAAACAAGAAATAACTCAAAGTACCTAAATATTGTAAAGGCTCACGCACATTATGGCGGGCCGCACTGCACCGCATCGTATAACAATAATCTTCCTAAATCACACTTTCGTACATTTTATGTATAAAATATAGATATGTTACATCTATAATATAATATACAGGGTGTAAATTTGAGACCGGGCGGCAAGGCCAGCTACCTTAATCGTTGTAGTTAGAAGACTATCCAAGAATTTTGAAGATATTTTGATTGGAATTCACAGATTTTGAAAAAATGGTACAGTCAGCAAGATAAATGATTATAATTTGGTTTTACTTAAATCTAATTTGTAGAGTAGTGGCCAGTTTCGTGTCTAACAAATACTTTTCATTTAAAATGTGTGGTAAAAGATTTTGCGATTTCTGACATTTAGGGTCGTATTCTAGAACTCTACTCAATGCTCACGTCAGGATTTGAGTATGGTTTAAAACACTCGAAATCATACTCAAGTCCCTGCCATTAGGGTCATATTTCCAGTGCTTGAAATCATACTCAGATCCTGACTTGAGCATTGAATAGAGTTCTGGAATACGACCCTTACAGTACTCTTACCTCAGTTGGTGCCACAGAGACTATATAGGGCGCACTATAAGTTTCCGGAACTGGCCACTTACATAAACAATATTTAAAAAGGAATTACAACATTTAAAAATGGAACTCTTTGGTTGTAGAATACAGTTTGTTTCATCTGACTGTCACTTGTTTTTACATTGTGGCGTCATTTTAGAAATTGGTTGTCTACATCACCATGGATTTAACTCGTGAAAATTTTCGTAGTATGATTTTTTAACACCTCAGCGGAGCATTCTCGGCTTCTAACTGCTTTTGGCGATGAAGTACCATACAAGACGACTATTTATAGCTGGTTTGCAGAATTCAAACGTGGTCGTGTAAATCTCAGTGACGAACTTGGTGATGGTCGCCCGTCCACTACTGTGAACAACAAAAACATCGATGCTGTGCGCCGTATGATCAAACAGACAGGCATGTGACATACCATGAGATTTAGGCATCTTTAGGTATAGGCATGAGACAAATATAATCAATACTACACAAACATTTGGGTGTGAAAAAGCTGTGCTCTCGGTGGATCCCACACAATTTAAGTGAGGCTCAAAAAACGGATCGCGTCACTTGGTGCAATGCCATGCTTACCATACAACAACAACATACAACGAAGGGGCGTCAAATTTGGTATGGAACATAGCAACAGGCGACGAAACATGACTTTATAGTTACGATCCCAAAACAAAGCAGCAATCAGACATGTGGCTACTGTTGCTTTGGAGAGTCCTTGTACCGTGAATAGTGATTGGTACACGACCATTTGTTTGCCGGAAGTTATTGACAAACTCCGTAAAAATAACCGTAAACGCCGTATCATCTATCGCCGTAGCACCACGATAATGCTAATTCTCACACGGCCAGACAGACAAATGAATTTTTGAAGGTGAACAACGTTGACCTTATGAGCCATCCCGCGTGCAGTCCCGACTTGGCACCTTATGACTTTTATTTATTTTCAAAAATTAAGAACCAGTTACGCAGTCAACGATTTTCATCATCTGAAGAGGCTGTCGAATAGTATGAAAAATATGTTTCAGCGATTGTCACGGAGGAGTGGCATAAATGTTTTCAAAATTGGTTCATTCGTATGAAAAAGTGCATTAACGGTAACGGAGAATATTTTGAGAAACAATAAATTCATTTCTGACCATTTATAGTATTTTTTTCTTTTCATTGCGGAAACTTATAGTGCGCCCTACGTATAATCATAGCATATTATCACTACCGCGTCTGTCTGTCTGTCTGATTGCGATAAATTCAAAAACTACTGAACAGATTTTCATGCTGTTTCCACCAATAGAAATAATGATTCACAAGGAAGGTTCAGGTGTATAATTTATTTAGATTTTGTTTAAGTTGACTGAAATCACTACATCACTACATATTATCACTACCGCGCCTATATGTCTGTCCAATCGCGATAAACTCAAAACTACTGAACGGATTTTCATGCGGTTTCCACCAATAGGCAGAGTGATAATGAGGAAGGTTTAAGTGTTATATAGTTAACTAAATTTCTGAATCGATTTCGATAAAAGGTTTTAGTCTAACCATATGAGTGCCGAGAAAGGGGCGACTGGTATTGACGACATGGCCTGGGGTCGGCCGGCGGGTAGGGCGGCCAAGACAGAAAAACCGCCACTGGTGGTAGTTAAATTTGAATGATTACAAATTTCCACTCGGGCCTCTGACCAGCTTAGTGCGATTCCGTGTCGATAAGTGTGGTGACTCCCGTATGTATCAATACGACTCGGTCTGAGTTCCGCCTCGACTTGTAGAGAGTACGTTATATGTTAAATAATCGTCATTCGCTTTATCCCAGTTCATGAACTTTGTTCGGGCTTCCCCTAGATAAGTATATCTACAATAACATTCCGGCACAAACATATACTAGAGTAAAATGTTGGTATAATTTCAAATAGCGGACTATTTACTTTTATACACACGGACGTTACTTTTTTTACGTGTAAAAAATATCATTTGAAATAATTATAAGTGTTTGAGCATAATAATAAGGCACAACTCACACAGGCGTAGAGTCGAAGCGTCGCGTCGCGTACTGTTTTTCAACTACAACGCTTGGCGATGCGCGTCGTCCCGCGACGACGCTCGCATTGGTACGCCCGGGTCACAGTGTGGTCGGCATCTGAGGACTCACTGCGCCCAAGTGACGCGCGAAGCCGCGTCGACACCCGCTTCCATATTTGCATATCACAAAGTACCTTAATAATGGGAAAAAAGAGACGAATATGCTATAGACGAATAACGTGACGCGTCGCGACGCTTCGACTTTGCGCCAGTGTGAGTTGAGCCTCAGGAGCACGTTCTCATCTCTCTATAACGTAAGTACCACGTATATGACCCTCGCACCCCGTCATACGTTAAGGACGTTTTCGCTTCCTCGAAACTAAGGTCTGAAATGGATAGCCTACTGAAACCCTTTTCACCCGCTCAGAGTATTTCAAAGACTTCTTTACGATGAAGGCTGCACAATTATGGAACAAACTCCCATCTGAAGTCCGACATTCTAAGTTCTTCCTGTTTTTAAAATTGAATTACGTAAATGTCTCCTGACACGGCCTATGTATTATTATTATTATACTATATAGAAATATACAATATGTAGCTATATTATATCGTTATTTATTATTTGATAATAAAGCAACTTTTTGTTTATACATTTCAAATTTTACCGTTGGCACACTATGTCTCCCGCTTGTTTAGCTTTCCTCTACCTCGAAGGCTGTCTGGAAGAGATCGATAGCGATAAGCTCGCCTTCGCCCACATTAGTTCAGCGTTCTAAGTTATTTATGAAGTGTATTGATTTTTGTGTGTGAGCAATAAAGAATACTTGTATCTATGTATATGCATCAAGTATGTTTCTAATTAAGTAAAGAATGCTTAGAAATTGCCAATAGCTGAATTACCGGACACATACGTACTTACTTCGTTATATAGAGCATGCGTACGTCAGAGCGTTGTATAGGTATTGTTTTTTCGCGGCTGTTTTATCATTCTATATAAATTGTGTCACACCAATTCAGTAGTCAGTCACTGGGTGACGCCGGTGCAGCGCGACGATGCTGCGCTATCTCGTGATTTTCGGTGCTTTGAACGCGTTTATCGTGACCAGCTTAACCAACGTTGGGCCGAAATTCCCCCCGACTCATGGCGAAGTATGGCCCCAACCGCAAATGCAGATGAAACACGATCAATTTCTGGTTTACGACCCAGCGAAATTAGTTATTAAGGTGAGTGACTTTTTAAATCAATTAAAAATCCAAATTATAATATGTGAACCAACCGGCTTTTGAGGGAACATGTCGTGTAGAAATGTACTTGTACATATTTAAACACCATAGGACTGTCTCGCAATTCTGACCTGCGCAAGAAAAATGTTGTTGCGTTCTCTACATCCATATAAAGTTGAGATTGTTTAACTAAGGTAGATCGAATCGAGTTGTTAGGTTTTCGCGATTTACATATAGGCAATGAAACATTTAGTAGCAATAGGGTACTTGTGTAAGAGTTCGTCTAGGGAAGTACTGCCACCTTGCCTATTTCTGCCGCCAAACAGTAACGTGAGCTTTACTGCGTTCCGGTTTAGAAGGGTAAGGTGGTGAAATTACAGGCACATGGGACTTGTCAACTTATATCTCAAGGTGACGGGTTCAGTGGCAGTGTCCCTAAGATCTTTGCGATTTAAAGCTCTGAGGTCACTGCAAATGTTATGGACAGGCTTGTCGCCTACCGCCATGTGCACGACTTGTTCATCACGTCACTTGATATTCTATAAATACCTACTTCCAGGTACAATATCAAAAGGCGCTTAAAACGATGAAATGGTTTAAAATTTGCTATTATTTACAGACAGTGCGAGAAACATGCCCAACGTTAACTCGAGCCATAAACCACTATGTTTACGTGCTGAAAAAACTTCACGACATAGCCAGCAAGAATAGAATAAACCATAAAGAAGATAAAACACACATCCCTTCCAATGAGCATGACAAAAAAAAATTGTTAGGGAATATAATGGAACTGAATGTAGAATTAAGTGCTCCATGTGAAGATTATCCTCATTTTGACATGGATGAAATCTGTAAGTACCTAACATTTTATTGAACACCACAATTAAGAAAAAGGCTTAGGTGCTCAAGCACAGTCATTGCACGAGTACGTTTGCAGGGCCCAGGACAAGTAATACAGCACCCGATGTTCCCGGGTTCAATTCCCGGTAGAACCAAATTGGGAAATGAACCTTTCTAGATTGGTTCTAGTCTGGGTGTTCTGGGAAGTGCCCCTGAGTGAGTTCCGTTGCTCTGGTATTCACATAATAGGGAATTGTCTAGTTTATTGAGACCAGGCAATTGGTGTAATTGACTGGCACAATTTTGTCACTATTATTATGTGAAGATAATGTTCCAAGAAATACGACTGATAAAATGTTATAGTCAACGAGTTTGATAAGTTTGAGTATAATGGAGTTCGAGATTTGTTCCTTTCATTTAATGCTTTTCAAATAAATCCAAACAATTAAGAACCACGAAACCGAATTTATATAAAACATTTTTAGTACTCTCCACGAAACATTTAAAAATAAAGATAAATTATAGATAAAGAGTAAAACAAATGTAAATAAAGCTATTATAGTATTAAAATAAGCATTAAGAAGGAAACCTTATACAATCTTCATAGTAAAGCTATACATTTTAATATTAGAATTATGTGTAATTGCGATGCCTAAAGCAAGTAAATGTGTACCTGTATTTTAGGCATATTGTTGGGCAAATTTCTTTATATTACAGCTTGAAAATAGACTTTCTATATTTAAGAATAAATTAATTAGTAGTTATAAATTAATGGTTACATAAAAATAATTATGAAACAACTTCTAGCAATCCCTCTGATCCATTGTAAGTTTTACTCTTAAGAATTTAATGAAATCGATACCTCGAATGTACACTGGCCCAACGCTATTTTATTGTAATTTTTGTTGTTATTTTTGTGAACAGCCACATTTATTTACTAATATTATGCTCCCTCAATCATGTGGAAAAAAAAAGAAAGCGACGAAATCCGAAAAAAAATACAAAAGAAAACGAATAATTTGGCGTATTGCTCATTGGAGGTATCGAAATATTCAAAGCCAATGCAAATTTCGATGCCAAACGCCCACACATAAACATTTAAGTATAAGTAGTTCAATTACTATGATCTTTGACCTAAGACCATTTACACTTAGTCCAATCAGTAACGAACATTTAATTAAACGGTTACTTTCGAGTACAATCGACTACATTACTATGTAATTTATGGACGTCATAAGAAGGCTTAAGGGCACTCAGTGAGCAATGGAGAGAGAGATGCTCGGTACTGCCCTACGTGATAGAATCAGAAATGAGGAAATCCGTAGGAGAACTAAGATAACCGACATAGCTCGAAGAATTGCTCAGCTGAAGTGGCAGTGGACGGTCCGCTATTTCGTTCCGCGGTTTAAGAGGCATAGCGTCTGGCGCGCTTTGCTGAAAGACGCTGGTTCGAATCCAGCCGGACCGAATGAATTTTTTCGTAGTGTCCGACCTTTGCATTAATAATTCTTATAAACTAGTAGAGTAATTTCACAAAAATAATTGAATATCATGGTGGGCAAACGACGTTACATTCAATAAACTTAAAAATTACAAAAAAAGTACGAATTTTAGTAGGTTTTACTTTATCAGCTTTATGAGCTGTGGTAGCCTAATGGTTTGACGTACGGTCTCTCAAGCAGAGGTTGTGAATTCCAATCTGGCCTCGTACCTCTGAGTTTCTCGGAATTTATGTGCGAAATTTGACTGTCATTTACCATGAGCTTTTCGGTGAAGGAAAATATCGTGATGAAACCTCGTCGAAGAAAGTTCACAATCCTCGAAAAACGTGTGAAGACCCCAACCCCCAATGGGCCAGCGTGGCGGACTGTGGCCTAAAACTTCACCTGAGACTCTTCTCAGGCACACACTCCCAGCCAGTCGCACAATTGGGCACGGGTAGAGACCCGTGAAACGTATGGGTTGATGATGATGATCATTTATTTTTTGCCATTTATTTTCCTTTTTTTTACAATATAGAAGTATATGATATGTATACATATATTTAAGTTGACTATACATAACTAACTTTATTAAAAGTGAGTGGCATTTTGTATCTACGATCCCGTTTTCCAACAACATGGGCATTTGAATCGGAGTCAAAGGGTGACTAGGTTATCGACTGCAGATTAGGAACTGTGCAAATATTAAAATCAACAAATATGTTATTGTAGCATCAAAAGTGCTGTCAAATCTGTTTATTTTTAACCGACTTCAAAAAAGGCGGGGTTCTCAATACGACTGTATGTTTTTTTGTATGTATACTACATTTGTGAACCAATTGTGACGATTCTTTTTTTCTTGGAAAGCGGGTTCCTCGGTACTGGTCCCATTTACATTTGAAGAAAATATTCCACCTCTAAGGGTAAACTAGGGGATTAATCCGGTTTCGCGCACTTTCCGGTAACGGATTTCAATAAAATTTGGCAATAGATATAATTCCACGAACTTTCGAGGTCAGTTTTTTAGTACTGTAGTACTTACTTGTATTTTTAGTACTGATCGTTATTGAATCAACTGGTTACCTATAGGGTATACTTTAAGTAAGTAATCGGTTGATCCAAATTGATGTATGTGCAGTATGAGAAACGTAAACATTTAACCTTAGTAAGCTTTACTTTCTTGTGTCGTGTTCTTTATTTGTAAGGCGAGCGAGCGAGGTAAATTCCTGCTATGTGCTTAAAACTAATTATTCAAGCTCTCCTGCACCAAAGAAATAGTTTATTCTTCCTGATAGGTAACCTTAGCGCCCAGTTACACGAGGTGAAAGTTTTCCATTACCACGACTTCATGTACATTAATGGCGAATCTGAATTCTATTTACTAGGCAACAACATTTAAATTCCTCTGAATAATACAACCGCTCAGCCGCCGTTGACTAAATTCAAGCCAGTCTCGCCCACGTACCCGGGATGCTCATTTATGTTATAACGTGAAAGCTCAATAAATAGAGCGTATTTTTCTATATTCTGTTTTATTATATGTGTGACTTTTTTAGTCTTTGATTTGCTTTTAATTGTGGTAGTTTTACATTATCTTTCAATTTGTCCAACAGTGTCTGGCATCCATATGTGGTCACCGGTACAATGCACACATATTCATTACTATGAATTTGTATTTTGTATCAATTTCTTTTGATTTCAGGACTTCTTTGAGTGACCAGAATTTCTTCCACGTATTTGTGACTCGTCTTCCAATTTCTTTGTCTGTTTGGTCCGGTCTGTGGATATTATTTGGCCCAAGTATTCTTATTTGTCTACATATTCAATTTTATTTCCAGTTATCGCAACCTGTTCTTTAATATTGTTTGCCAAAAATTTCGTTTTGTTAGTGTTCATAGTGAGTCCTTTTTTTTAGCTTGCCGTGTCCAATTCTATAAGCATAGTTTGTAGCATTTTTGGGTTTATAGCCACGAGTATAAAATCAGCTGCAAATTTCAAGTGGTTAATGCGTACTCCATCTATACTCAAGCCATATTACTCCCAAACCAGATGTCTAAATATACTTTCCAAGACAGCAGCGACTATTTTGGGCGATAGAGGATCCCCCTGATGGACACCTTTTCTGAGTTGGAATTATTCTCCTGTAGTCGCTGGCTGTATTTTTGCTTTACTCTTTTTGTATATTTGTTGGATTAGTCTTATATTTTTCTTTTGTACTCATTGTTCACCGAGAGATTCGCAGACTTCATTATGTTTAAGTGAATCAAAGGCCTTATTGTAATCTATAAATACTTATTATTATTGTTGTCCTCTCTCTCATTAAATGTTTCTATTATTTGTTTTATTACAAGAATATGATCTATGGTTGAAAAGCCGTAACTATAGAGGCAGTTAAATAGTAAAGACTTTTCTGTACAAGTTTTATCTATGTAGGTAACAACCACATTAGTTGAATATACATCAAACTACGAAATATAAAAATTACTTACGAAAATGTAGTCACTCTTGTCACTATCCATAAACACAGCCAGCCTATATTGTTATATAATAAAATAATTAACGCGCATCCACGGCTTGGGAAGCCTAGCGTCTTAAGAGTCTATACTACCTCAGCTCGAATTCAAATTATTCCTTTACGGAATACGGTTCATTTTGCTTGGGTTTAGCGGCAGAGACACACATTTCAGAATGTATTTTTTTACAAACGAAATTAAAGCCATTTGAAAAATCTATATCGTATAATATTAGTGTTCTGCCTCCGTGGCCGAACGGTTACCATGCCGAGGTCCCAGGTTCGATTCCCGGGCCGGGGGAAATATTTGTATGGTCTACATTTATTTCTCTCGTGAGTTTGGGTGTAATTTGTAGTTGTCTATGTGTGTGTCCATGGTACCCGCGACACAGGGTTTCCCTAGTGCGGGGCTATGTTGAGTGTGTGCGTTATTATTATTATTGTGTGCCTTCTATTTATTCCAGTTGATATAAAAATCATTGGTACGTACGAGTATATGTAAAGTACCTATTGAATAGTTATTTTGTAAAATTTTGAGGCAAGTTTGGGTTTTTTCTGTTGTGTAAATTTTTAGGAATCGTGTTTTCACGCCATGTAGTTAATCAGTGTATATCCTCAATTATACAATATATTTTTTTCTAAAGTGATTGATTCAACCAAAACCAAAGCTATTTGAGGTAGTATATACTCTCAATAATCTCAGTTCTTCTTAGGGTTCTTCTCCTTCCGGAGGTTGGACAACTTTATGGCAATCCTGACTTTACAGGCTGCCGCTCTAAAGAGCGAGGTGGTACTGCAGCCGAATTTCAGTACAGAGTACTAAAAAAAAAGCGACCTCAAAAGTTCGTGGAATTACATCTATTTGCCAAGTTTTATTGGTTACCATAAAATGACGTAACCGGATTCATCCCCTAGTTTGCCACCCTTAGCGGTGGAATATTTCCTTCAAATTTAAATTAGACTAAGATACCCTCTTTCCAACAAACAAAAGAATCATCAAAATCGGTTCACAAATACC